TGAAAAAGAGTACTACTCCATGCTAGAAAGGGGAAACACAAGAGAAAGAAGTAGAAACCATCATGGTGATGCCTCCAATCTTCTCTAAACTTGTGTTGATCTTCTGTTGGGGAGATTCTTCCCAATTCACCACTTGAAGCAAAACCTAGCCTTCCTTCTTCCTTGGTTCGTCCTTTCTCTCTCTAAAATCTGAAGAAGAACAAACTTTCTCACTCTTGGGCTCTCCCTCTTCCTTTCAGCTCACATTTTATACTAGGATCGGGCTCAGTTCACGACCGTGAACTCTTCAACACGTCCGTGAACTCATAGCGCTATATCGAAACGCACCGCTTCACTCACATGAGTTCACGGTCTTGTTGACCGTGAACTCCCCTTGTGTCAGTAACTTCAGATTTGCCCCGAACGCTTCGCGGTTCACGGTTTTGGGCTTCATTTCACAGCCATAGTAGACCGTGAACCTTGCCTGAATTACCCTCTTTGCCCGGTCTTTGCCTCTTTTCGTCCAACTTTCGACTCCGGAGTTGGTTTCACCTGTTGGATCGTGAAACCCACTAAAAAGCACGAAACCTAGTGTAAAATCACCCTTTTAGAAGTTCAAATGCTACAAACGCCCAAGAAAAAGCGGGGATAAAATGTGTGCAATTAGGCTCGAATCCGAAATAGAGGGTTAAACCAAACGCAGTATACAAAGTACAAACCTAATTACCTAAATTAAAGTGGTAACTCAATAAATATATAAATTTATTATGATTACTCCGTAGAATGGGAAGGACGGAGAAAGGACGAAAATATAGAGTAGTAGAAGAAAGTGAGTGGGTCAGCATCATAAGTCAGAAGAAGAAAAGAAAGAGAAAAAACATAAAGACCGTCTCGCTGGGAAGCAGGCAGAAGCGGCAGCCACAGCCACAGCCACAACCACAAGCCACAACAGCGCCACAGCCCACGTTGGCGAAGGGGGAGGAAGGGAGGCAACAATTCCATGTGCCCACATGGCTCTCTGCAGCTGTACTGTTCTTCTTCACATTACTTTCTCCCTTCTTCGTCACCATTTCCTCTCATCCTAAGCCCATCCCTAATTTCATTCCTATTTCTCTTTTCCTTCTATTCCCTGATCCCATTTCTTCCTCTCCTTTGATACCCAGAAGAAAATCATTAAAAATTTAGGAGAAGATGAAGGAGGGCAACGATGGGTTTGTGCGGGCGGATCAGATTGATCTCAAGAGTCTTGACGAGCAACTTGAGCGCCATCTCAACAGGGTTTGGACTATGGACAAGAACAAGCGATCCGAAGATCCTAATGCCCTTCCTCCTCCTCCTTCTGCTGCTGCTCCTGTTCCAGCTACTACTACTTCCCTCCACGCTTCTAAACCTACATCCATGGCCGCCGCCACCGCCGCATTGACTAAGGACAGGCGGGAATGGGAGATTGACCCTTCTAGCCTTATTATCAAGGGTGTCATTGCTCGTGGCACCTTCGGCACCGTTCACCGTGGTGTCTACGATGGCCTCGATGTCGCCGGTACCCCTTTTTTGCTCCTTCATCTGATTTGCTTATCGTCTTCATTTAAGGTGTTATTAGTTTGTCTTTCCGGAACATTATTTTCTCTATGTTACTTGGGCGATTGGTCAGTAGCAACTTTTTTCTTATGCCATTTGTGTTAGTTCAGCTTGATAGGGCGATGATCCTGAAACCTGATTCCCCAATTTTACGCTTCTTTTACTAGTTTGAGCAAAAGGTTGAGTTTGATTAGGAAATTCGTAATGGGTTTGTAACAATGGTGGGTTTTGGTTGTTGAAGTAGTAGCTCTGATGCAGCCCGTGAATCAACACGGGTGAGTGGTGAAGTTTTTCATTAAACCAAAAAAACTTAGGAGACTCGACGTTTTCATTTGTCGAACTTTCATGTGATCCCAGGCTGTTGCTCCACAATGTGACCCAATGAAAGAAAGAACGAAAGACATTAACACAGAAAAAAAAGGGGGAAAAGGGATGGACTTTGCTGTATATTTCGCTGCCAATGTCAATTTGTGATGGTTTTGATAGCTTGTTGTCCACTTTCTATTCTTTCAAGAGGTTAACTGTTTGGTCATTTGTTCTTAGAGTAAACTTCTACAATATAAGCTTATTACCGTATACCTTCTGATTCCTTATTGTACTGAGTGTGATTTTCATTCTTTTAAATCCTTTAGTTAAGCTGCTTGACTGGGGTGAAGAGGGACATAGGACGGAAGCTGAGATTGCCTCACTAAGAGCTGATTTCACACAAGAAGTTGCTGTTTGGCATAAGCTTGATCATCCTAATGTCACTAAGGTACTTATGTTTGATCTCAGTTTGTCTATCTACCCGCTTATGAAAAAACGAAATGGATAGCCATCGGATAGTTTTTGCCACTGGCTTGTAAAGATATTTAATTCTGAAGTCAACCGGCCGCAGTTTTGCGCAACCAATTGAATGAGGTTTATATGATGGGTTGAAATCCCAAGTGTGTACTTTGTTGTGTGCTGTTGCATAACTTGCATTATAGAGATTTCCTTCAGTTCTTATGGCCTTTAAGATCTTCCCAATTCCATGGAACGCTTCACTAGGTCACGGAGGTTTATTGACTTAATTTACTTGATCCGATCTTCCATCCGCACTTCTGTCATTTATGGCACATTAGGCACCTTTGAAGGCTACGAACTTTTGTAGCTAGACTGTAGCGTTGCTTCTCATTCAATCTGTTCAATTCACTTCCTTTTTAGAGGTTTATTAGATTTCTTGACTTTTTTCTTGTGTATCCCAAAGACTTCACTTTCACAGGTTAACTTCAATAAATATGGGCCTAGTATTTTGGGGGTTTCCCATTTTTACGGCTATAGGGGTTTCTCTTTTAGGAATAAGATAGTAGAATATGTGTTTTGTTCATTGCTGGACTTCATATATCTTTGTCCTCTATTTTCCTTGGAAGGAAGTGCACATTCTTTGAACTGGGAGACCAATTCCCATTCTTCCTTTTACTCGTCATAGGCCTGAATTTGACATGCATAAAGTTGCATACTGAAAGTGTTTACTCTCTCAATACCATGAGAAGTTATATCCGCTACCTGTTATATTTGTTCTACTGATCCAAGTGTATTTATTTTCTGATCTAGAAAGGAAGCACGGCAACTTCTGTTTTCTACTTATTTTGGCACAGCTCATCTTTGTCATGTCAGTCTTTCCCGCATCCACCTTATTTTTCTTGTCTGGTCATCAGGGTATTGTCCTCTTGTCTCATCTTGCATGTGCAGAGAAGTGCCAAATTTATACTATTGCTTAAATTTGTTAGTCATCTGGCATGGTGACTGTTCATCACTAAGATTGTAAAGGGCATGTGGGCTTCCTGCTTACAGAATTATCAGTCTTGGTTTTCACCAGTGAAAACTCTTGTGCTGCCTATAACAGTGAGATCTGAAGGTACTGCTGGACGTGTATTAATTCTTGTTTTCTTTTCTCTCCATAAACCAGTTCATAGGTGCAACAATGGGCTCATCCGACTTACATATACAAACTGAGAACGGTCAAATTAACATGCCTAAAAACATATGCTGTGTTGTTGTGGAATATCTTCCTGGAGGTGCACTGAAATCTTACCTTATAAAGAACCGCAGACGGAAGTTAGCTTTTAAAGTAGTTGTCCAGCTGGCGCTTGATATGGCTAGAGGGTAACTGAGGCACCACCCATCGTTCTGTGCTTTTCATTGATTTCTTTTCAGCTGGTACCCTAATCGAGTCATTAAATATGTTGACCTTCGAATTAATTACACTTTTGTAGGTTAAGTTATCTTCATTCTCAAAAGATAGTTCACAGAGACGTGAAGACTGAAAACATGTTGCTGGATAAGACACGCACTGTGAAGATTGCAGATTTCGGGGTAGCTCGTGTTGAGGCTTCAAACCCTAATGATATGACTGGGGAGACAGGGACACTCGGATATATGGCTCCTGAGGTACTTATACTATGATTTATAAAAATGCTTAAGGGGCTATCTGGTAACTAGGGAGTGCCCGGGATTATGAGAATACATGGTTTCTGGCAATCCATCATTTTACTTGTCACAATCTAGTATCAAAACCATGCTTTTTACCTTTCACATCGTTACGTGATACCGTGTATTCTCGACAATATACGAAAGTAAATTCACTTGCTGTGTTTTCAACAACAACTTGTAAGAGTACCTTGGAACTTATTTTTGTACATTGGGGTTTGACAGGTTTTGAATGGAAATCCGTACAATAGGAAATGCGACGTGTATAGTTTTGGTATCTGTTTATGGGAAATCTATTGTTGCGACATGCCATACCCGGATCTTAGCTTCTCGGAAGTGACCTCTGCTGTTGTCCGCCAGGTATACTCACCCTCGTATTTCTCTATCCTCTGCTTCATAGTCTGCAGATGCAACCTGCTGACACTTTGATGTTTGTTTGGCACTGCAGAATCTCAGACCAGAGATACCAAGATGTTGCCCCAGCGCACTGGCAAACATAATGAAGCGGTGTTGGGATGCCAGCCCTGACAAGCGGCCCGAGATGGAAGAGGTTGTGTTTTTGTTGGAGGCTGTTGACACAACCAAAGGGGGAGGGATGATCCCTCCGGACCAACAAGGCGGCTGTCTTTGCTTCCGCAGAAACCGAGGTCCTTGAATCCCCTCCCTCCTGCTTATGAAGATGTCACTGTATGTACTAAATGGTAAAGTTAATGGTCGAATTAATGGGGACACATACTAGGGGGTTGTGGAGGAGATGCAGTAGATCTTGACTCTATTAAACCATGTAAAGCTTTTCATTCCTCTCGTCTCTTCCTGCTTCGTTTCTTTTCTTAGTTTGTGGTAGTAATTTTTCTAGGAGGGTATGGCTAATGTCTTCTTCCTGCCATATAAATATGATGACGAACTCATTTGTGAAGCAAGCCCTCCTAGTCCTAGGTCACTGCTAAACTATATGATGATAAACTCATTTGTGTACCTGAAACTGAACAGAGATTGAGTTGTGTAGTTGATTAAATATTGTTGTAGAAGTTTGCCTCTGGACTTAGCATCTAAAGAACGATTTTCTGTTGTATCGATTTGTGTAATTTGGGATAATACTTTAATGCGGCCTGAAGTAGTTTGACGGAAGACATTTAGAAGGGGGGAAAAATGAGCACTTTTTTGGGTTTCCATTTACTTTGAACATGTTAGTAAATTACAAAACAAGCGAGACAGTAGTAGTACTAACAACGCTGCCTTATCTCTCTTACTTTTTGCATTGTGAGTTGTGACAGTACAACGGAAGTTAATGGTGTCATTTTTTTTTATTTGTTAGCTAAGCCCCCCTAAAACTCATCTTAACTACAAAACAAAACAAAAAACCAAAATTAATAACATATAATCTTCTGACCCGACCCGATGATCATTCCATTTTTTTCTTCTTTTTCTGCTGCAATTTCTTCTTTCACTCTGCATAGCTTGGTTGTAAGTGTCTGTCTGTGTCTTTCCCCTGTTTTTTTCATTTTCTTTAATCTTTTTTCCAAATTTAACAAAAGCAAACAAAAGAGAGGGAGAAACCCAAAAGAGAAACAATGTAGAAACGATAAACAAAGAAGGTATTGCTGGAAAACAAAAATGCTCCCATGGGGAAGAAGAAGATCCCACATTATTATGAATTTGGTTTTGATGGGGCGAATAGTTTGTCCTAAACCTTACTGGAGAGTTGAATCTCCGAGAATTCATCTTGATGGCTGCCACGAGGTGGTTGGTCGTCGTCGTCCTCGTCCCAATTCGTCGTTCTGTAGTAAATTGCGTACAGTATTAGTTGCACCAGTGCGGACAGCGATCCCAGACCATTAGGTATCTAGATGGACGAAGTCAACACACACTTTTCATTAGTCATCTTGTGTGAGCTCTCAAATATTAGTTTTAACATATAGTCCGTCGCATTCTCATTCAGTCATAGTACGCGTGCTGCTTACCAGAATGTTAATGTCGAACTTGAGGAGAGCATAGAGGGTCCAAACGATTCCATTGCAAAAACCAGCGAGGGAAAGGAAGAAAGGCATGTACTTGACGCTCTTTGTCTTGATTACCATTTTCTGCTCACCGATATTACTATGTATAGTTAAATAGTGGCAACATTTTTTCTTTAAGATAGACCGTCCCAGTGAATATGAATTAGGTTGTTGTTTGTAGGGGCAGGTTTTAGATGGACGTACGTACCATGACGGTCAAGGGAGCGGCGTACATAAGAATGTTGAAGATGATACAGAGAAGGCCGACGAACATAGCCCTCTTTGGGGGAGCATGGAAAGCTAGCAGTGTGATTAGTAACACCCCGATGAAGAAGACCGCCTCTATCAGCAACGTTATGATCAGCTTCCTCTGCGTTAATCAGAATGGAACAAACAAACATTGGTTGATTACTACAAGTGTACTTAGAAAGAACAAACATCGAATCGAATATAATACGACGAGGGCAGGGCAGTACGTACTCGCTTATCCCAGGGCGAGAAGAAGAAGAAGAAGGCTACGTAGAACAACTCGAGGAAGAAACCGAAGCCGTTGATGGTGATGACGAGGAGGCTGTCCGGTTTCACGAACGGCATCCCGTACAAACTCCACATCGCGCAATTCAGCAGCGTCGTCACGTACGGATCCGCCTTGAAGTCCTGCACCGTTTTCTGTTTGAATATCTTCACGAAGGTCGGCCTGCAGGAAGGCTGGCTTATCATTTTGTAATCCAACATGCATGCATATCTCTAATCCAATAATCAAGGATCAAGCTAGCTAACTATATTTATTTGTCCTTGGAACTTAAAGTTACGTTTACGTTGTTGTTTTGTTTGAAACCTTAATTAATTACAACAACAAAGCTAGGTCGAGTGATTAAGAATGAACCCATCGTTGAATTACTTTCTACTTTACAGACAGCAAGATCCAAGTGACTTACACTGGGGATAGAAACAGGAAGAAGGAGATGACATTTCCTGCATGGCACAACATAAAAAATAAAAACGAATCAGTATTGATTACTGCTACAATTATCAAAACTAGTACCGGTATAATTTGAAAAGAGAATTCTGCCATTACTATCTATCTATCTTTTCACCATGTATAATTTGAAAGATCATTGGAAAGTAACAGGGAAAGAGAGAGAGAGATTAGTTACCAATAATGCCGACGATGGTACGAACGAACATGGTGTCAACCATTTTTGCTTAATTAGCTTTTTCGGGGCTTCAACTTGAATTCTAATTAACTGCTCTAGGGTACAAACTGAGTTAACAATATGGATCTATCTAGTTACGTTGTTTGCAATAGATGAGAGGGAAAGAGGTATGGCTTGGAAGGGATGAATGATGGATGGGATTATTATTATTATGTGGGGAGTGAGTGAGGAATGGAGGTGGGGAAGAAGGTGAGTGGTGAAGAGGAATTAGGGAGGCAGGCATTATCGAGAATGGCTGGTTATCGTTAGTTTAATTTAATTTGCTGCTCATCTCATCTCATGTCAATTTTTTTTTTGGGTCTTAAATTGTGCGCCGCTGCTTTCCCAAAACTGCGGAAAATGAGAGACCATTTTCTCCATCTTCCCTTGTTTCACGCTTCAGTTTCAACGTACGAACGTGTAGGTAACTGACTGATGATCATGCATGCAGAATGTGTGTCGTCTTCTTTGTTTTAATTTTCCTTTGAGGTCAGTGAGTTTTCCCACCCTGGCCTCCCACTTTCCATTTTTGTCAATGACGGTTCCGTTTCTCCATTCAAACAAACAAGCGAGTGAATCTATTTGGTGATTTGCAAGCTACCCATCCAAATTTTGTTGGTCAACATAAAAAATATTCATATTTGTCCATCATATCTATCACAAATTAAAGAAGATGATATCCATCATATCATCATCCAACACTTATTAATCGATTTTAATTGAATGCATTTGTTTAGGTTTGGCGGTTAATGTAATTGAAAAATCATGGATATATGAGACTTTCGAATTCATTATAGATTTGATAAACATTATTGTTTGTTTCATGGATTTTATGATGAATTTTGTTAACTAAATTTGTATGTATAAAGTGTAACTTGCCTTTACTGCTCACATGATATATGAAACTTGAAAGAAAGAAAATATGAGAAGCATGTTGGTAAAAAATTATGGACTTCAAAGTCCATATGATCAATTCTCACCTATAGAGGTGGGATTTTCAAGTCCCTGGCCCACGGATTTGAACCCTCAAAGTCCATGGGTCCCACTGATTTGTAACCTCTAAATACTTGAAGAAAATAATGGATTTTGGACAAAGTATATCATGGTTTCAAATCCATCACCAAATCCATCAAGCAAACATAGCTCAACAATGGACCTAATTGCCCTCATATCTATGACAACCAATGCAATGGTCATGTAATTGACCACCATAACTAGGAGATTTTTCCAGAAATACCACAACTACCAACATTTCATAGACTTATGACGCTTTCTTTTTTTTGTTGTTGTTGCTGTTCTCTTGGGCGGGACACTAGTTATGGTGAGGATAGGGGGAGCAGATCCGGTGAGTAACCTTGTGGTGAGTAACCATGAGTAACCCGTCCACATCAGCATGACATCAGCATCCTCTCTCTCCTGGAAAGTCTTTAATTTTCCCCTCTTTAATCTTTGACGGACGATTTCTCACTCATTTTAAGTCCAAATTTAATTTTTTTTGTACAGTTATATCAGATTAATTGTGCTCTTCAAAATGATATCCACTTTAATATATTTTTCGAAAAAAAAAATTGAGCCATTTTTTACCAGTCTATACCATATGGTATTGACTAGTATTGAAATAAAAGCATACCTATGGTTTGAAAAAAGTACCATGGTGGTATGAACAAACCAAGATTGTAGGATGGTTGAATACATGATAATAGAAATATATTAATTGTCATTTACGACTTTTAACATTGTATACCACAAGATACCACGCCGTACCAGGGTGGTATTGTATGGTATTGTGTGGTATTTTTTGGTCATGTAATTTGTTCACCCATAAATTTGTAGATCCAATAGATCATGATGAACTCGTCCTTTCTGTGCAAACGTTTTCAAAAACGAATTAAAAACGAAGAAGATACCATACAATACCACCCCGTACCAGGTGGTATTGTATGGTATTGTGTGGTATTTTTTGGTTCTGTAATTTGTTCACCCAGAAATTTGTAGATCCAATATATCATGATGAACTCGTCCCTTCTGTGCAAACGTTTTCAAAAACGAATTAAAAATGAAGAAAATACCATATGGTATGCAGTTGGTACCGAGAGGCCAGAATTTTTTGTTCTAAAAAAATATTGAAAATTAATCTCATTTTGTAGAGCACGAAGAACTCGTTCCACCTGTGCAAAAAAAAAAAAAAATCCGAGTTAAAACGAAAAAGATATGAGTCGATTAAGAAAACTAGAGAAAATAAAAATGATCTTTAATTCTCCATCCTTAGATCTAGATTTTCTAAATGAAGGGTCCAGATTTGGTTATTGATGGATGCATAACCCATGGTTATGCACCCTATCTTGAGCCGAGGATAGGCATGGTAGGGGAAAAAGAAAGTAGGGAGCGAATTAAGCAAGGAAAAAACGGAAAGAGCAGTTTGCCACAGAGATCTAGCAAGAGTACGGGTGCTTGTCTTGGTGAATTTGCGTTTTCTTTGTCAAATTGGCTATGAATTTTATTCTTTATTTTCTATACTGAATTTAATTATGCAAGTTATGCAATTGTATAGTGTTTACTCGAGGATTGAAATAATAATTGAGAAGTTGCCCTGAGCTTTCAATTAAAATTGTGTCCTCGTTACCAACTGCAAAGTTTCGGTTGCGAGCCTATTCTAGTTGACAATTTCTCGTCTTTAAAATAATTAAAGTTATCAGACCATTAATTGAGGACAATTAGTCATTCCCAAAAGGTGTAGTGACAACTCACCGTCCCCTAATACATAAGGTAAGGAACAATTTTTCATCCCTAAAAGCCATAGGTGACAACTTATCGTCTCTAAAGAGTTAGAATAAGAGACCACTCGTTGCTCTTGAATATAGCTTTGGGGGCAATATTTATGATATAAAAAGAAAAGGGGACGATATATTATCCCTATATAGGCCCAACACGATCATGAAATCGATTATGCGGGACAACAGATTGTCCCTAGAAATGATCTTTAGGGGATGATTTATTGTCCTTGCAGTTATAGCTATAGGGACGACATGTTGTCTTTCATGAAAATAAAAACAGACAACGACTTACAAGTATCCGGGACGACAGTCGTCCCTAGTAATGGAGACGACCTAGATTTTTGTCGTCTGCAAAAGAATAGAGGACAAGAGTATAGGGAACCGCATATTAGGGACGACCTAGTCGTCCCCAAAAACTATAGGGACGATTTTTCCAATTTCCAGTGACGACTTTTGTCGTCCCGAAACCTCATCTTTTTTGTAGTGAAGTCATTCCGACACGAGGAGGCTCATAGTTAGATGCCAGAACCAACACGAGGGATGCAAAGCTAGGGTCTGGGCCATCAAGAATCCAGAGCAAGAGATTCGGGCATTGGTCATATCACGTGCGTCGAACACTCACACATGCGTGTTATCCATAACATCCCAAGGCCATCGACAACTGAAATCCAGGGTGGTTGTCGCGGCTGTGAAGCATCTAATTGAGCAAGAGCCCGACCTAAAGAAGAAAACCATCATCGCCGATATTTCTAGTCGTTATGGATATATTATTAACTATAAGAAGGCATGACATGGAAAGCAGAAAGCAATGGTCGTCGTGTTTGGAGGCTGTGAAGAATCATATGCATACCTTCCCAGATTGATTTTGGCATTGGAGGCGTTTAACCCTAGAACTATATTCTCCCCCCGCTACCAAGATGAAGAAATCTAGCCGTCGGATCCCGATAACAAAGCCATTTCAAACGACTTTTCTAGTCATTCAAGCCATATATTGATGGTTTTCCCTTCTGCGTCCCGGCGATCCAAGTGGATGGCACATTCCTTACTGGCAAGTATAAGGGCACCTCCTGATTGCTAGCGGAGCGGATGCAATAGAGGTCTCTTTCCTTTAGCCTTCGCCATTGTCGAGAGAGAGAGAATACTGAAAGCTATGGATGATTCTTTCGACAAATTCACCTTCACGTCACCAGGACGACGAACCTCACAATCATCTCTGATCGCCACGTCGGGATCAGAGTTGTCATCTTAGGCTTGGATCCAGCCTGTAAATGGTCTCAGAGGTGGTGCATACAAACAAAGACGTCAATTTCAGGATAGAAAAGTAAGAAGATAAAATAAAATAAATAAAAAGTGGATTATTCAAATGTATCTATATGTGATTAAAAGAAATGAACAAAACATTAGGCAAATATAAGTCCACAAAATGAAAAAAAATAAAAGAAACGAAAAATTATGCATAAATGTGAACTTAGCAAAATGCCACTAAAGGTGATGCAAATTACAAAAACACCTTCTTAATGAATAATAAACCCTTAACTATGGCTTTTATATAAGAATTATTGATAATTTTGATTTGACTCTCACTCGTATAATTATTATCATGATAAATTCGGAAATCCTTACTCCAATTCATATCATATCAATTTTAATATAATCCAATCAAACATTCATTATAGGATAAAATAAAGCTATCGAGTTTCAACAAGAGGAAATAAATTTGGAGTTTGAGAGCTGGCGAATAAAGTTTTATTTTGTTTCAATATTATTCACAAATAAAGAAGAATGTATTATATAAAAATGATTATAAGCTAAGTTCATTATCTAGTAATGGTTTGATGGTAGAAATACATACTAATATTGATAGGTTTATGGTTTAAATTTCAACGACACTTAACAATTGTATTTATATTTATACGATTTTCTTTTGGGCGAGCCGCCATTGAAAACATCACCGATATAATACGAGCACGGTTGTGCTTGTAGGGGATCAAAGTGCACAGCTCAACTCTCTTCCAACGAGACTTGAGTGTAAGCAATTTAAAACGCAAATAAAACGGACCAAAGGTGCAATCTTTCACGCGGAAGAAGGCTCGATTGGTTTGAAGTGAAGCTCGGCCACGATTGATGCGTTTTCAATCGATACGAAGCAACTCGTAGCTGGAACTCAACCAACTCACAAGCTTTGGGAGACAAGTCTCAACTTTTATTCATCAACTCATGCCCTTGTACACGAGGCATTCAAGCCTTTAAATAGACAACAAACAACCTAATTCTAACTCTAAACTAACAAGGAAATAAATATCTAACTCTAGTTTGACAAGGAAACAGAATCCTAATTCTAAAAGGTAACAAAACCCAGTTGCTTCTCGTCCAAGCTGCTGCCTTCCTGCGCAAGCAATGATACCAGTCTCCATAGCATCTTTGAAGCCCTCGAATGTAGCCTTCCAAGGATCAACGTTCCAATCAGCCTTCAGTCGTTTGTACTCCTGTTTTTGTAGTTTAATTTCCAGCTCTTCTTGCCCGTCGACAATACTCCATTCGCATTTCATAAGCCTCCAAAGTTGGTGTCGGACACTGTTTCCAGACTTAGTCAAAAACAGGCATTCTTCCAGTTTTACCATAGCAACTTGACACTCTTTGTTCAGGGTCTTGAAGGCTCGAGCTGGTGCAAACGACCCTTCAAATTGATAAACAAACACGAGCTCTTCACTTTCCACCCTTCCTCTCGTATTTCCATCAGCCAGAATGTACGATATGAACCTGTAAAGTAGGCACCACGAAACAATACGAACACTTAGCCAGATTCTTCCGTTTTTCTTTCCAACATTGATAGATCTTTTGGAGCTCAATTGGAGCTTCATCAAGAGGCTAAATGAGATCATATCACGATATACATGTGATTCAAATATGTGTGATTGGTCGGGTTTTAGTTGAATAGTAAAAATACTCAGATTGATATATAAGAAGACCGATAATGCATCACTAGTATACACATGAGTTTTTTTTTTTTGTAAATACGAAGTACTATGAATAAGAAAACTCACACTATACAATTTTTTATTTTGTGAATCGATAAATGAAACAATATAACCTAAGATCGATTGAAGAAAATGTCTGTTCAACCACATATAATACCAAGTTGAGGATACTGAGTTAAGCTCATTAAAGTACCACACTTCAAAGCTATGAGAGTAAATTAGATTCGATGGCCAATTACGACGCATATGCGAAAATATAACTATGCAAAAAATAATTATTTGAATAATTGTAAACCTCACAAAGATTGTCAATTGCTAATGATTTAAAAATGTAAAAAGGATTGTGTGCACGTGAGCATAATATGTATGATCAGCCGATCTCAAGTTGAATATCTGAAAAACTCACAAAGATTATCAATCGATAAGAACTTGAAAATAGGAAACGCATCACCAATATATACATGTGATCTGAATATGTGTGGTTGGTCAGCTTTTAGTTGAACAGTCGAAAAACAAAAATAAAAACAACGACGTTGATTACAAGATGAAAAAAACAAAAAGATAAAATAAAAGAAATAGAAAAGAGTACTATTCAAAGGTTTCCATATGTGATTAAAATAAATTAGGCAGAAAAAATGAGACAAATATTTGTCGACAAAATGACGAAGAAATAAAAGAAATTGAAAATTATGTAAAAATATGTGGTGTTAGCAATTGATGCATAAAGAGACTAAATCGAAAAACAAACAATGGAAATTGATGGGATTACGAACTAACATGTGACAGTGGCAGATCAACTGAAGCAATATAGCTAGTAATAATACTACTCTACTAATTGGTTTCTATAAATAAAATATAATCTATGTTGATAATATGCTTATAACATGAGGCAGGGTCAGGTCCACGATTCAGACTATAAAATACTATAATCTCATATCTTGCCAATCTTATCAAATCATCAACCATCCATCGTTAACTGACTGGCCGTGACAAAACACAAGTATTATTTATCTGTTTTTTGGGTTCATATATATGATGTCAAGTACAACGACAACAGAAGGGGGAAAAAATGACAGGCCCTTCCTCCCTGCGCCCACCAAGAACATGTAGCAGCAGTAGCCACTCACACTGCTAATTACAGCACTTCACCTTTGACGTAATGCCAAGTAGACAGATGAATTAGCTCAACTCCCCTACACATTTAAGGTTAAAGAGATCAATGGTGTTGGAAATATTGGTCTCAGTGGTGCTGTTGGTCGCAGGAATATCAGCATGGGTGCTTATTCATATCTGCATAGTTAGCAGAGCTTTCGCGGGTGATAATCATCAGAACATCATCATATTCGATACCAGCTTTGTTCACGGCGGTGGCAGAGGTGGAGGGATTGAGAAGATGTTGAATGTGGAGAGGAGAATCCCCTGCTTTAGCTACAGATAGGGCAGAGATGGAAGTGCGAGTGCGGTTGTTGAGTACTGCGCAGTTTGTTTGGAGAAGTTGGCTGTTGGGGAAAGTTGCATGCTGCTTCCCAACTGCAACCATGCTTTCATGCTTCGTGTATAGATTCCTGGCTTCTCCTAGCGCCGGCCTGCCCAATTTGCCGGAGAGGGGTCGACGTCGCCTCCCCTGTTTCTGATTCCGGAGAACAAGTCAGCATTCTCATTGCGGATGGACAGAGAATGTTGTCAAAATCATCTTTATCGTATACAAAGTTTCTTCTTTTGGCTTCTTTCCCTGTTTCCACCATGAATCTATACGCAGTCAAATGTAGATTTTTAACTTCTTTCCCGATTTTAATTGGCTCCTTGGTAATACATTCAAAGGTAGTCTCAAGTCTGTAAATACCTAACATATTCGATTTCAGAGCGTAATTTTGAATTTTGGGAATTCCTCGTGTTGACTGAGTCGAGATGATGGATATTGTGGGTTTGGATTGCCTTCCTAGAGGTATGGTCGTATGGACAACCTACCGACAGAGGAAGGAAATTGCTGGGCATCGCGTTATAACAGATTATTCTGCTTATCTGCAACTAGTAAATGTGTATGCTGACACAACAAAAAATTGAGCTGCTTTCAAGGAGTCTCGGCAAAAGTTGCACAAAGAGAAAACCTAAGAGGTCCAGTATGAGTCCACTCTTATCAATTCGACTACATACATAAGTTCTACGAAAATTGCCAGTACAACTATCATGTATCGAACGCATGTTTAGAAAGAAATAACACAGAAATCAAGCACATTGATGGAGTCTCTATGTGCATTCTTCAGAGTGACAGGCTTATGTATGTTCTATCTTGAAAATCTTCTTCCAGGTAAATGATGCTTCCCATCACTTTGGAAAATAAGTAGCATAACAAAAATCCCTAAATCCTAGTCTTGAATAACTTAGGGTTCACTGCCACTGTTATGTAAAACTCTGGTTAGCTAAAGTCCAACTTATCAGCCCTTTGAGGATGTAAAATTCTACGATGTCAATGGAGCGGGAGTGTTACCTGATCGATTTCGAACTCCTCGAATTCATCATCGTCTTCGAATAGGTCCATCTTTACGTCCTCGACAGCTGTTTTCTACTCGGCTGCCATTCCAATGTCTCAAATTGCAAATGCCCAAAATTGAGAAGAACGACTAAATTGTAGATTGGAGAAGAACTGGAATTACGAACTGCATTTCTCTATTTGATGGAATACAATAGAAGCTGAGAAGATGGCTTTACGAACGAAGAAGAGAAGCATTTTACATGAAGCAGATAATCAATAAGCAGTCTAGCAGAGGAATGGAGAGCGGAACCATGGCGTTGATGATTTAACTTCAGCAATGGCTACTTCTAAACCCAAAAGGAAAAAAGAAAAAATAAGGGGAAAAGCAGAGAGGTTGAATTTACTTTGAGTAAATTGCAGGTTACTGAGAATATTCATTAAGATTATTTTAATATTCTAGATTGGGTCAGACTTTGCCGATTTTGGTAGTATGAAACAAATTGATGCATAAATTACCAATTAGATCATGATGGTAATGTTTGGTAGTACATAAGCTCATGGTGGTATGAAAGTGTAACAAGATGATATAAATATATCAATCATAATTTGTCACCTTTCAGAACCATCTACCACCCTCCACAAGGATAGTATAAGGTGGTATATTGGGTAGGGGTGGATATGGATTTTTTTCAGAAATACCACCATTAAAACGTTTAACACGGCGGTTCTTTGTTGGCAACAGAAACCACTTCCTTACCAGGCGGTTTGAGAAACCGCCTGGGGGGCGGTGGTTTGTATGTAGTCTCCATCCCCCGACAGCTGACATGTCAGCATGCAGGGGGTTGCAGACGTGGGGTTGCATGTCAGGTGAAAACCGCGTCCTCCCCAGTGATTTTCAGTAGACATTTTGCTTATAAAAGGCAGCCCCGAAAACCTCAACTCTTCAACCCTCTCCTTATTCTTCTTCAAATTTATGTTTTTCACCCTACTTTTTTTTAGCATTTGCGATTAACGTTACTTCATAAGTTTATTTTGCATTACTTTTTATCGTGATGAGTGATTTTTATGGTATTAATTTAGTTACGATTTTATTACAGACGACATTCCAAAAGTTCACGCTTGGGTTACGGTGGAATGATGATACAAAAGAGACTGGAAAGGAGGTACGTTACATCGGTGGTAATTTTCATAAAAGTGAAGGTCGCTACGAGACTGAACCTTGAAGAGCTCCGTCAGTGTACTGCGGTTACTTGCATGGATGTAACGAGGAGAGTTGGTCGTATGGTGTATCGATATCCAAACAAAGAAAGCGCGTCGTTATGGCATGAGGAATTTCTCATAACAACTCATGCGGAAGTAGATGCCATGGTCGAATTTTTTATCACCAATAACCAATCAAAAGCAGAGATGTTTGTTTATGTCGAGGCGGTCGAAGGAGGTGGAGGTTATTCTGGAGATGGCCAAACATCTAGAATCCACAATGGATGTGGATTATAGGAAGATTATCCCTACCAAGGTTAACATGATCCTTATTCCTATCATCAGTACCAAGAGAGTAGTGGAGGTCATCATCAATCCTTCCCATTATATAAAGAAGAAGCCCAACGGTACCATAACAATCAACAAGAAGGCTATCACATACCCGCCCATTGCCCACACCTACTGCCAGGTCCAGTTAGTGACCTTGAGGATGAAGAAGAGGAAGGAAATGTTAGTGCAGACAACTTCGACTCTCTTGAAGGTGATGATGATTCAGGACCAGATTCAGATAAAGATGATGATGATGAGGTGTCTCGTGACCGTGTACCTATCTCACGCTACAATCACGTTCCAAATGAAAATTGGTATGTTGATGCCGACATGGAGCCGCCAGAGGTGCTAGTATGGGGTCCACTCACTAGGTTTACGAAGGGCTAACAATTTGGTACGAAGAAGGAGGTGTAGGACACTGTTGACACTGAAGCAATGACTCGGAGTTTTGAATAGCGCACAACTCATTCTGATCCAAAGAGGCTCATATTTAGATGCCAAAATCAACACTAGGGATGCAAGGCTAGGGTCCACGCCATCAAAAGCAAGAGAGTTGGCCATTGGTTCATATCTCGTGCGGGGAACACTAACACATGTGTAATCGAGGGTGGTTGTAGTGGCTATCAAGTATCTTATTGAACAACAACCCAACTTGAAGGTGAATGCCATCATCGCCGATATTTCTAGTCATTATCAATATATTATTAACTTTAAGAAGGCGTGGCATGGAAAGTAGAAAGCCATGGCCATCGTGTTTAGTGACTGGGAAGAATCATATGCATTCCTTCCCAGATTAATTTTGGCATTGGAGGCGTCTAACCCTGACACTGTTTTCTCCCTCTGCTACCCGGGTACAAACGCCATTTCAAACATCTTTTCTGGTCATTCAAGCCATCAATTGATTGTTTTTCCTTCTGCGTACTTGTGATGCAAGTGGACGACACATTCCTTACCGACAAGTACAAGGGCACTCTCTTGATTGTCAGTGGAGTGGATGCAAACAGACGTGTCTTTCCCTTAGCCTTTGCCATTGTTGAAGGGAGAGAATACCAAAAGCTATGGATGGTTCTTCAGATAAATTCAGCTCCACGTCATCAGGAGGACGAACCAGACAATCATCTTTGATCACCACACTGGGATCAGACCTGCCATCTTAGGCTTGGATCTAGTCTAGAAGTGGTCACAGAGGTGGTGCATACGACACTTCAAGAGCAATTGGAACCATCATTTCAAGAGGAGAAAGCTTGTTGATAATCTATGATAGACCGGTAAGCGTTCTATTTAATTGGTGAGTTAATTTTGTTAACTGGAAAGGTTGCTAGGAAATAGAATGCAACACTTACTTACAATGCAGTCAAAATCGGGATTTTGATCGTAAAATAGTAGGATTTTAGGATTTTACTTAGGGATTCCGATCCTGATTTGATCGTAAAATCGTAGGATTTTAGGATTTTACTTAGGGACTCCGATCCAGATTTTACTATAAAATCGGTGGACCTTAAAATCATTTAAAATCGGGATTAAAATCGTTAAAATCGTACCAAAATCAGGATTTTGATCCTATGTGAACAAAATAGGCGGTTTGAGCCAATTCAAAAGAAGCAGAACTGTTTCGGTGAAAAGGGAAATGACAGGGATCTTCTTAGATATTTTTCCTATTAAAAGAACATTTAAAATGAAAAAAAAATTAGGGTTAGGTTAACCGCTTCCCTTATTTAAGTCATCGATAAAACAACTGTCATAATATTGTAAATACGTATGAATTAACATCATCATTGACAAATAATTAATTAATTAATGAATATAATTTTACCAAACTAATGACATTAATTATTTTATTTGAGTTCACTTATTCTTAGTTTTAAATCATGCTTAGTAGACGATGTCGGAATACTACTTTGAGTTAAACTACCTAAACACAACACAAAAACAAGAGTCAAACCCTATGAGTTATATCCCTTCCTCATAAATTATTTTGAGTTACGCATTAAATAACAATTAAAATGATAATTTTGGAACATTACTCTTGAAACTTATCATTTTAAATGTTATATGTCTTTGTGTTATTAATGATTTACCTTATTAATATTATTATATATTAATTTCTATATGGTACTTAAAATCCTACGATTCTACGATTCGATTTTACCCCAGTTTTCGATTTTAGGTAAAATCCCGATTTTGACTGCTTTGCTTACTTCTATTCTTTATAAAGAGATGCATGCCTAAGGAAATAGGGTCTTAATTAGAGGTGTCAAAACATAACCCGACCAGACAAACCCGACCCGCAACCCAACCGTAACCCGAATTGACTAAAATTCAATGACTCCCAACCCAGCCGACCCGCAACCCAATTGACCCGTGACCCGATTAACTCATAAATCGATTAACCCATAACTCGATTAAACATGTAACCCAATTGACTCGTACCCGATTGGCCCGAACCCGACTAACTTGTAACCCGCTCGATTGGCCTGAATAATTACTATATTATAAATTATATAGTCTTTCAAAATGAAGTTTATTTTTTGTAAGTGTAAGTAAAACTATTTTTTCATTTTATAAAGGAAAGTTCAAAAATGAAATTGAGTTGAAATTATGGGTTTTTAATAAAAGAAAAGAGGAAGTTTTAGTGCTTTTGATTTAGGGAAAGAGAAAGAAGTGGAAAATTTTGTTTTTTTTTTTTGAATAAAAAGAAAAGGAAAATTTGTTGCTTAAATTTTTGGAAACATAAAGAATGGAGTTTTGGTGCTTTGATTTATAGGAAGAGAAAGAAGTGGGAAAGTTTGGTGTTTTAAACTTTTTTTTAAAAAGATAAGAGAAATTTGGTGCTTCAAATTTTGAGAAAAAAAAGGGGGCATTTTGGTGCTTTGGTTTGTAGAAGAGAAATAAGTGAGAAATTTTGGTGTTTTCAACTTTTTGGACAAAAATAGAAGAATAGTGAAATTTGGTGCTTCAAGTTTTGGGAAAAGAAAGAAGAAGAGTTTTACTGCTTTTGATTTATTTGAAGAGAAAGAGGTGGGAAATTTTGGTGTCTTTGATTTTAGGATAGAAAAATAAGGGGAATTTTGTATTTTTAATTTTTTTGGAAGAGAAAAAAGAGAGAAAGCTTATCACAATGTGTACATGTGATGGTTTAGGAGTGTAACATTTAGTGACTAAAATTATATCTATAACAAACCTTACTATAGTCTTATATGCATCAATAATTTGATAGAGTAGATTTGAGAACATGTAATGAGTTATCCTATCTCCAATGCATATTATTTTACATTAAGGTGGGAAACTTAATCTCACTTACTAATTCCCCCACCAGATTTTCATTTAGGTGGGAAATTCCCCCCTCATTTTGATATTTCATCCCAACTTTTCACTTCCCCAATGTTTCCCTATCCTTTCCATTTTTTCGTTCTTCTCATTTTGTTTTTCCACTAAAATTTGTCCTTGCCAAAATGAAAACCTAACGAGGGGAAATTCCCCTAATTCGACGCTCTAACGTTTCAATTCATTTATTATTAAGCCTGATACCCATCTCTCATAAGTTGTTGTTTATAACATTACTGCCTTGTATAGCTTTTGCATATGGAAATAAATTAGGATTATTGATTGTCAAAATACTTGCAAAAAAATTCCGTGCACCTTAATTCATATTTTTTTAGCACTTCTACCGTGCTTTAAAGTATTGGTGCTTTAAAGTAGAACTTGAACTTGTACCACAACATAAATATATAAATTGAAATTGTACCATGACATAAAGGTACAACTTTAGATTGTACCTGACTCGTTCTAACTACAACATCCCAATCGACGGCCAAGTATAACCGCCGACTGGGTGTAGCATAGGGCAAGAAAACAATAAGAATTTATCGTACCACGGGGATATAGGCTTACCTACTTCAGGTTTAGGGTGCGTTATCTAGCCAACCTAGGATAGTGATTAATAGAATTAAACTAACTAACCTAGACTAACCACTAACCTAGCTATTTACAAGGTTTGGAGCTCTTTTGGGTTGATCGTCCTAGGTCCGTTCTTTGGATCAATGTTGGGTATCCTCCTAGCTCGATCGACTCAAATACACTACCGGTTGGAGATGGACTCCCTCGGGAATCACCCGGAACGAATCGACGGATGGGTAGTGCTCTATTCAACCTAGGGTATCGTATATTGCTAGGAGACCGGTCGAATCAAGTCCCTCGGGGCCTACCCGGTGAATATATGATAGGAGCGACCCGAAGACACCAAAAGCGGTTCTAAGGGGATTATCCCACTCCTAGGCCAAAAGCTCAAAGCATGAAAATGGAAACCACACTCATGCCATTCAAGAAAAAAACTAGGGATGACAAAAATATCCGTAACCGCAGATATCCGCCCGAATCCGATCTAATCGGGTATGGTAAAACCAGAACCCGAATGACTTTTAGTGGGTAAAGGGAAAACTCGAACTAGATTATTGCGGTAATGGGTGGGCATGGTTTTCTCACTATCCAACCCGAACCCGCCCGATTATACACATGCATATGTATTTTGTCTAGAAATAATCAATATTTTTTCTAACATATTTTATATTTAGTATACAAATATAATATTTTTATGAAATTGTAATGTTTTAATTAATTTTCTTCATTCTAGTGAATTATTTTCGTACTTTTCGTCTTACATAACATGAGAATACGTGTGAACATTAACATAATGGTTGTAGTTATAAAGAGAAACTATTATACATGGATAACCGTGGACACCCGAAACCAGAACGGATATGGGCATGGTTTGAATTTTCTACCCGTTTCTTATGTAGGTATGGGTATGGGTAAAATCCGAACTACTTTGGGTATGGATATGCACTATCCGTCCTCGACCCGACCCGTTGCCATCCCTAAAAACATCCATCAATTAAGTAAAATCAACAATCAAACTAGGGATTTTGTCAGATACATCAACAACAAACCAAAATCAAGACCTAGGGTTCTTAAACCTCTAGATCTTCTTCTTCTTCTTCTAGGCTTGATTCCTAGCTTCCAAGCTTGATGAATGCCTTCAATTAAGCTCCAAGATCACTCCCTCTCTCACTAGAATTCCCCTTTGGTGTTTTGGGTTGAAACCCTAGAGAAAGAAAGTGTTCCTTCTCCAAACACCAGGTCCCCTTTCTCTCTCCCCGCTGTTGTCTTCATATTTTCCCGAAAGTGATCAGTTCATGGACGCGTTGGCCAGTTCACGGCCGTGAACACCTAAACGCCTCCGTGAACTCAGTATCGTCCAAAACGCACCGCTTCAGTCGCCTAGGTTTGCGGTTAATGGCCCCAGTTCACGGACTTAGAGACCGTGAACTGCCTTGTTGTCAGTAACTTCTGGAACCTCACTGGACTGCTCGATGTTCACGGTTTGTGGTCCATGTTCACGGTCATAGGAGACCGTGAACTTCCTTGTCCGGCCGTGAACTGCGGCTGTTTCCTGGGACGCCTTCACTTCACTTTTACGAGGCAATTATCACAGTCGCTACTTCGGACTTTTCTTTGGTTTTTGCACTTTTTGACCTCCAATTATCCCAAAACTCATCCTCGACCCTTCCACACGTGCTAGGACCTGAAATGTATCAAAACAAACACAACCTAGCGTGAAATATGTCGAGGAACGATGAAATACTAAGCTAAACGAATAAGTAATGAGGGGTAAAATGTGTACATTTGGGCTCGAATCAGTACCATAAAGGGATTTTACAAAAGAGTATAGGTATAACCTAAAGTTGTAACTTAACGTTAAATGTACAACTTCAAGTTGGCAAAAACTAAAGCACCAATACTTTAAAGCATTGTAAAATTTCTAATATTTTTTGTTAAATAAATGTTTATACTTCACAATTCTGAGAATTAAGCATGTAATTTATTATATATACACATATATATATGGTACATATATGCTTTAAAGCATTCTAATTCATGTCTTTTTTTTGTTAGTCAATTTACTACCCGTGGTAAAATGGCGGCCATGTTTTTTTCTTGATATATATTGCCGCCCAACTTCTTACTTCCCGCTCCAAAAAGCCGCCCAAATTTTGTTTGGATTGATCTATATTGCCGCCTAATTTTCATTTGGAGTGGTGTTTTGTTTTCATCATGTATAGTTTGTTAATAATGTCTATTGGTTGCAAATGTTGATATCAACATTGCTATTAGCTATTGCACTTTACAAATTACGATCGTTTACATCACAAGTTTGCAAATCATATAAATTGATTGGACATTTTGAATTTTTTTTTAAATTAAGTATATAAAAGAGGTAGAAATAAATTGATTAAAATTTGTGAAAAATATTTTAATTTAATAAATTGTGTAAGTTGGTAACGAGTAAGGAGTACGTAATTCGATGCAATGGTCGTCATACATGAATGTCAGGATCATTTCCTTTGGAAATAGTTCACAACCACAAGTCCTTTAGGTATGGTGAATCACAAAGTGTAACGAAATACATTCAGGACTTGCCTACTATAGTTTGTTTTGTTCCTCTATGAAACAGTTATATCACCATATGTAAGAGATAGCTC